GTACAGTTTAAGAGTACATACTATTTTGAAACTGTACATGACCCTAGCTAGTACCAATATCTTTCTGTTTGTTGTCAGATTCCTGTAAGCTAACAAGGCTTATAAAACATGACCCTAGTACAATGTACCAATACCTCCTGTTGTAGTCCGATTCCTGTAAGCTAACACAGCTTATAAAACATGACCCTAGTACAATGTACCAATACCTCCTGTTGTAGTCTGATTCCTGTAAGCTAACAAGGCTTATAAAACATGACCCTAGTACAATACCTTCTTCTTGTTGTGTTATCTCTGTGAGATAAGAAAGCTCTGAATCGAGACGAGGGGGCCCATAGACTATCTCATATGTATGACCCGGCATCAAACAAAGCATAAAGCACCAAATCAATGACAATTTTATTGCCCCAACTCCTTCATATTTTACACCTTTATGGACATACAGTTCACTGATCATTTGTCATATGAAGGTGACAGCATACATATGGTACTAGTCATCAGAACATCACACATTACATGTCACAGGTTGTGTTATAATGATCCCCCATACATTTTTTTTCTACCCAATTACTCCCCCTTGGAAAATTTGAAAGGTAATACTATATGTATACCAAAGTATAATAGGTTAGTGGATATTGATAGCTTGTTGCTTACAGAGATCATTTGACTAGGTCCCTGTTGTAACTACCTGTTATTGCATGGTAAGGAACGGATTATTTTTGGCCCAATTAAGGGAGGGTCAATTATTTCACAGAGCATGGTTGTATAAATATCTTTAGTGGTAGAAGACGTCAGATGTTATGGGTCAAATAAAGGTCAGCATGATGGAAAAGTGAATTAGTTGTTATTAATCATAAATAAATATTTAAGTATTGGTTTACTTCAAAACTTCAAGATTTTTGTTTAATTTGGACAAAGTTTTAAAAACACATTCACAAAATAGAAATATTTTCTTAGAACATCAGTAATGTATGTTGATAGTTCTGATTCTGGTAGTTTGTTGCGTTCTCTAAAGGAGATGTTTTTCACTTTCTTGATTGTTCTAGTCTACTGAGCTGTAAGTTCCAGTTTGCTGGGAAATCCTGTGATGTAATGGTGTTCTAAATTTAGTTGGAGACTTGTTCTCTCAGTCTCTTGTTGCTTTAATACATTGTTACATGTCACTCATTTTGTAATGTCTTTGCACTAGTCTACCCAGCTGATAAAATTGACATGGACATATAGGAAAGTATTCCTGTGATGGAATGGTGTTCTCTCAGCGGAAGTCTTATTCATCCTGTCACCTGTAATGCTGTTACACATTTTGATGTGTCATACACTTCCTACCTAGTTAAAGGGCCTAGCTGTCACACCTAGCTGGTTTGAGTCGCTGGAGCTATACCGGAGTACAAATTTGGCGACTTTTGGGAATAGGTACTAGTACGGCAGCGCAACAGTATTACATCACTAAGAACGGTAGTACATCGTCAGGACATCTTCAGAACATATGCAAAAAAATAAGCAACAAAATTAGCAACGGCAGGCGACAGTAGAAATTTTTGAACATGCCGGAGCGAGAAATGGGACTGCAACGGCAGTACAACGGTTGTACTCTAGTATGGCTTTGTTAATGTCGGTAGAGCACCGGTAGCGCCCTGTTCTGGATCAGCGGCTATCCGTTGGCCTGAATGTATACCGTGCTGGTACCGATGTGATACCGTAATACTACCGAATACCAACGAAGTCAGTACTGATGCACTGCCGACGTACTAAAGATGAACTACCGTAACATTGGCAGCGCAACGGTAGCACTCCGCGGCGCCTTGGTATAACATTGGCAGCACTGAGGTGACAGATAAATAGTATTCGGTAGCACATCGGCTCTTACATGGGTAGAACAATGGTATCAGAATGGAAACGCTGGTACTACATAAGTATTGCTACGGTCAATTTTGATTGTTTAAGTGCTTTCTCACTGGAGCTCTGAAGATTTTCTCGCCGTTGTTAATTTTTGCTCTGGTCTGGTCCAGGCGAGGTACATCTGTAGTGTGTGACAGGCCCTTAAGTAAAGTGTGGTGAACAACTCAGCTTAGTAAACAAGACCAAGCTGCCAAGTTTACTGGTACTGTTGTCAAACTGCAGACCTTGAGTCAGGCAGGAGCAGAAGACATGCTATAGGAACACTGCCAAAACAGAACTCTGAGGCCATCATCTGGAATGTGGCAAGGAAACGTAAAAAATTGACAACCAATGTCTCATTGTTGTTAAGTTCAAAATTGCTGTATCCATATTCTCCAAACACCATTTGACCAGGTGAAGAATTCTTGCCATACACATCATATCCATATTGCCCAATTTCGGCAAATATATTTGCATGCGTATGCTTGAAATTGTATTAACACTCCCCACCACCACCCTTATCCTTGATTCTGAGATGTTCAGGTAATTCAATATTTTCACATAAGTGGCAGACTTACTCACAACAATCATCAGAGTCAACAGGTATAACAGTAACGTTACCTTCACATACATGTATAGCGACTGCAAAACATTTATATAACCTACATTTTGTCATTTTAAAAAGCCCACTTTTTCTGCCAATTTTTTCAAGTGTTTTGAACACAAATTACAACAAATATAGTAGTGGAAAGAATAATCTTTTTGAAATAATGAAATATTATGTATATCAAAAAGGAGAGTTGAAGTTCATTTTCAATTTAGTTTCAATGATATTTACCAATGAGGAAGTATATTTGGAGTTACTCCCCTTTAAAATTTACCCTGCATTTCCACTTTGGAACACCAGATGCCATCGGTGAAGAAGTTAGAATATTGAGAACTGTGCATTCCATGTTCATCTTGGATTGATAGATATCCCTCACCTTCATATTGACTCCACATATTGACTCCACATTATTTTGTGGTATATAGTTAATTAAGATCTGCTGTAAGGGGAGATAATTGTGTTTGTATTGGCACTTTGTAGATATACTACAGGCAGTTTTGATTTTTCGTTCCTGTAGATAACACCAGTTCATGATTTTTTTTGTTTAAGATTTTGTGGTTTATTGGCTGCTACTCCCCATAGGAACAGTCAATGATGATGTTCAGATTTGTAATTGTTTCCAAGTTTTCTACCCTAGCTAACAGTAGTTTACTTATAGTGTGTCGGTAGTTTAGACAGTTGACCACACATTCTGAGATAGGAGGTAGCGTTTTAACTGTGGTCTTTTTTACAGTTTGTTTCTGTATAAAAGCTTCATTCTCAGATGGAAAAAGGAGTTTTTACTGTTTGTTTTGCGTATCAGTGTGTATCTGAGATTTACAGAAGTGCTCAACAGTGAACATCTTTAAAAGAAAATATTTATTTTGATTTTGTTTCGGATTTACCTGTTTATCAGATGCTTGCCAACAATCTTATTGTTGTACGCTGAATGCTGTGTAGGAAAAAACTATGCAAAGTGACAATTCATTTTTTGCCATTTCTTGATTTTTAAACACAGAAATATTTGGCAAATGAACCTGCTTTGGAATTCAAGGAATCAAAGGATCCTTATATAAAGACATCGTTCAGTGTTATCAATACCAACATCAAAACGAACACAGTCTGCACGTCGAGATAGTAGTCTGTTTGGGGAACAGTTCTTTGCTCATTAATCATGGTTTTTAAGTAAATCCAGATTTAATTGAGCTGCACGTTTTATTTTTATAGCTGACTTTGCTTATTGGACATCAAAGTGATAGGACGTTCATTTTGGATTCTACGATTGTTGATTCCAGTAGTTGAAAGAATCAGTCATCTTATGTCTGTTCTTATATACGTACAGGTATAGATTCCGATGCTTATCGTATGTCATCTGTCTGATATCTACCGGACTTTGAAACTCTTCAATCTAATTTTTAATACACTTGTACATCTCAGAGTCATCGTTAGATTTATACTGAAAGGCTTGGTTTTAACTTTTACAACATACTTCAAATTCGAATGAGTTTTAGTAAAATTTAAAGATTCTTGGATGTACACACATGTACCTAATAGTTGAATAAGGAGGGAAAAAAATTTCTTTGTGATATTTATGATTGAAAGTTGGTGAAGTCTCAGACAATATTCAAATTCATTAATGAATTACTGACAGCAGACTCTGGAACTCTTTGAGAATGGATTGAATTTATATGAGATTTAAATTTAATAAGGTTTCTACAACACTTTTTGTATCCTTTGCAGCAAAAGAGTGTTTTTTGTAACTATTTGGATTACTCGTGGAAACCCAAGATGATGTTACAATCCTAATGACCTCATGATGATAGACTCTATAGAGCAGTGTGGTTAAACGGACAATGCACTGACAACTTAGCAGTAGAAGTTCTTTAATCTCCGGAAAATTATTGATGACCTTGTGTATACGGTGTCATTACCTGTTGATGGAATTTAATTGCGTTCTTGTGTAGCATTTAAAAACCTTCAGCTTACTGGTCATCTTCAAAGAAACGCGAGGTCACTCCGGCCTTTCTAGGTGTTCAATGGGGGACTTGATTGACTTCCATTTAAACAGGAAGCTCACTGTGTTTAGAACAACAATCATCAGAAATTAGAGTCTTGACGTTGGCAACATTTTCATTACAAATGTTGAAAACTGACTAAATGTGTGATTAATACTCACGTTTCTATGGCGATTAATTAAACAAGACATGGAGTCGAGTATATATAATGCCATGGAAATGGAAAGTTGCCACTTTGTTTTCTTTCTGGACAGCATGATATATTTCTCTTATTAAGAGCAGAAGATTGGGTTCTAATTTTGGCCAGGAGCTCCTCAAGTCTATGTGTTTTTGAGTTGGGCAGTATTTCACGATATATTATAGTGTCGGAACCCTAGAACTTGGATGTTTCCACAGAAAACATTGAGACTTAGTATATTAGCATAGTCTGTTATTGCTTGCCAAAGTTGGAAATCTTGAGATTATACCTATCTTGTGTGTAGGTTCTATGACTACGTGCATAAAGTCTGTGTATAGCAAGGCCTTGTACAACAGATCACTGAAAATTTGCTTGCTTCCTGGGCCTACAAACAGAACACAGACATGAGTCAGAGCGAACTCTTTGGTAAAGTGAGGAAGGTTCTGATATCGGTGAAGATAAGAGTTTGGGATAAGAAGATAAAATTGAGAATTTGTAAAGGAAAAGGTATTTTGACAGCTGGAAATGTAGAGAAGGCTAATGGGAGTATAGGAACGGAGTTGGCGGTGGTGTATTGTGTAAGTATAACTGTTAAAATAACATATTAATGTATTGTTTAGGAGACTGAACTTGCTGTGAGTTGTAACATTGTCTTAAGTATCTTTATAAGTCAAAGTAATTAAATACACAGATAAAAAAAAATCAACATAAACCAGACATTTTGTATACAATGTTTTTGTTCCTGTATATACTATTATGTTAAATTCTAAATTATTTTTGATGTACACGTGTATATTATTTTTCAATTCCAGTTTAGATGCATATTGAAGTTGGGATGAGTTCCAACTGCAACATATCCTATAACAGATGGAATGCTTTGACTATTTTTGTTCTGCATTCCTCATTAAAGATTACGTTTGAAGCAGAAAAATAGCTATAATATGATTTATTACGGGCCAATCAAAGTCATTGAGGTGTTTGAAAACTTGGCAGTAATGGCTTCCTTGTCTACTGTAGTCTAACCCTAATGTTATAGGATGTACTGTATGATTTCTATAAGTTTTCTGTTCCAATATAACTGCTGTAAGGAAAGTGATCAATGTCTTACAAATCTATGTCAGCTGCTTTGAAAGAATTTTCTTTCCTTTAATTTGAGGAAATGTGACATACATATTTCCAAGGTGATCAATGGACTACTTTGCATTGTATTACAGCTATATATAAAACTTGTAGCGAAGTATTCACCACAGTTATAGTAACCTTGACCTTGATTGCACCAAAGATGTACTTAATCTATGAAGTTTATAACCATGAAAAAAACTTAAATGGTGTAGAAGCCTGTTTCACTGTGTTATAGAGTTTGTAAATTGTGAACAAAAACGTGTCCATTTAGAACAAAATATTCTGTCTGTATCATACAGGGAAATCTGTCTTTATCAAATACAACTTGGGTTAATAGTTCTGACGAAAGTTCAAAAGTTGGGGCAAAACAGAAACATATTGATATAATTTCTTTGAAGTATTTAGAAAACCCTACATGTTGTTTGTTTCCTTATGATATGGGGACAACATTCTGATCATAACGGAAACCATATTCATGTACATGCACACTAATATGTCATCATATGTAGCAGATTTTAATTGTGTTTAGGATTACGGTGGCCTTGAAGCTTTAAGATTTTCCCTTTTACTCAATCAGTTGAGCGACAGACTTGGAAGTTGGGGGGGGTTGAGTTTGATCCCGATGGAAGCACACAAATCCTTTTCCTGTTACACATATAAAAAAGTCCAGTTTATACAGGTTTCTAGTATATTGAGGGTTTGATTTAGACAGATATCTAACTACTTCCTATTGGTGTATTCTGTAGAAGTTGAATATTTCATTGTATGGAGATTTTCACAAATTTCTTATTCTCAAAATCAGCATTAAAAAATATGAAAATATAGAAACAACATCAATTAAACATGGAATCAGGATTGCTAAAAGAATATAAATACATGAACATTTCTGTTCAAGAAAATGGTCGCACTTGTAGAATAGTTATTATAGTATTGTTCCGCAGTAAAGAGAAAGTAAGGGGGAGTAACTCTGATAATGAATGATTGAAACACCAGGGAAGCTTAATTAACTCATTCACCCCTGAAATTTCATAATGAACTATTCCAACCTTTTAATTGGAAGAGTTCAAATATGTCTTCAGGGGTGAATGAGTTAGATATGCTGAATATTCTGTACAGTGTAATGTTAACGAGACAAACAAAGAACGTGCTAGTAGTTACGCTGTGTACCTGAGGGGAGAAAGGATGGTTCTCAGACCTGAACACTTTAATGGCCTCTGACAGTGCATTGCCGTATCCTTTCCCTTTGGCCGTTGTTGATATTCAATAGTTTTAGAGTAATGGGAGTCAATATGGCCTTTGTCATTATACATAAAAAAACAGTGATAGTGGACAATCAATTGCAATTGCACTGGCCCAATTGCTGGACACCAGATATTTTTATAATTCAGCATGACACTGAATAATTCAATACACAGTACATTCAGTATTTCAGTGAGGAGATGAAAATTGACACAAGACAAATAAGGATTTATCTTTTGAAGGAGAAATGTTCACTGGGTAGAATCTTTTCAGATTTTTTTCTTACAAAATTTTCAAAAATTTGAACCTTGATGAATACCAGTAGAATGCTTCCTGGAATAATGATTTAAAATCTGTGTTTTTATTTATTTATTATTTATTTTTTTACATTGTATAAACAGGAGAAAAAACACAATATTGTTATGATTAAAATTGCAACACCGGGGCCCTCTCCTTGAGATTTCAATTTGATTCAAATTGAATGATACCATGGTCACTATAAATAAAGCTTCCCTGTCATTAATGGCAGTTTTGTGTCTGGGTGGACATCTTAAAACATTTGTTATCTTCTGACATGACACACACCTCATTGTCTTCCTAATACACACATATCATTGCCTATCTCTAACTGTGGAAGGATATCAGCACGGTGTAATAGCTTCTAGTAGCTGTAGGAATTGTACTTGATACGGAGGACGGGAGTAGTCATTATGTGTGTGGCGTAATGGGGAGCAGTCATTGTGTGAGGTTTAAGGTCAAAGGTCCCGTCTGCTGATTAGAGCACTGCAATCTGTCAAGGGATTCATTATAGAAAAGATAAAGTAATTACAGAAACGGACTTTCCTAAGGCGGAGTCGGATTGATTTCAAGGGTTATGTTCCGAGGTGAACTTTGAAATTGTTTGTTTATTTGATAGGAACTTTTTGAGTTCACACTAATTTGCCAGGAGAGTAAGACAGACTGCGGCATTACTCTTTTTTGATTTCATGACATACAATGTAGAGGGGTGGAGGTTGAAATGGGGGAGTTAACAAAAATATAAATGACTGAAAGGTACTTACACAGACCCCTATTTGACAAGAGAATAACACAAAATGATGCACATCATAAAGACATGACACAATAAACATGTAACAATAAGATGTCGTTATATTGCCTAACTCCTGCAGTGGAAGGATACTAGAATGATGTAACAGCTTACTTGTCACCATATAAATTTTATGTTAAAAAATAATGGAAACTGAACAAAAAGGAAGATGAACTGAAGGAACATGTGTTTAACAAGGGGTGGGCTTATTTCTGAGCATGGGTTATCACTGGTAATGCCTGTTTAACAAGGGGCGGGCTTATTTCTGAGCATGGATTATCACTGGTAATGCCTGTTTAACAAGGGGTGGGCTTATTTCTGAGCATTGGTTATCACTGGTAATGCCTGTTTAACAAAGGGGTGGGCTTATTTCTGAGCATGCGTTATCACTGGTAATGCCTGTTTAACAAGGGGTGGGCTTATTTCTGAGCATAGGTTATCACTGGTAATGCCTGTTTAACAAGGGGTGGTCTTATTTCTGAGCATGGACTATCACTGGTAATGCCTGTTTAACAAGGGATGGACTTATTTCTGAGCATTTGTTATCACTGGTAATGCCTGTTTAACAAGGGGTGGGCTTATTTCTGAGCATGGGTTATCACTGGTAATGCCTGTTGGACAAGGGCTGGGCTTATTTCTGAGCATAGGTTATCACTAGTAATGCCTGTTTAATAAGGGGTTTATAGGCTTATTTCTGAGCATGGTCTTATTGGCCACTCTGGCTGATATAGGTGTTTCTGGCTGAAACCAGGTAGGATATGGAAATGGTTATATGATAACCTCTAATTCCATTCCATAGTGGCATCTGTAAATAAAAGATGTTGATATATCTTTTGTATGCATGAAGCTGAAAGTTGGATTTTGAAAAATGTCCTAGTATAGAAAGGTATTATTACACTGATGTATCATTTGCTTCTCTCAAAGTTAGTGATCTATGATGTCAGAGTGACTTCAAACTGGGTATGTTTATATCATTTTCTACATTACCAGGTCTTCTTTACATAAAGTTGTCTTGTTAACTTGATGCACACGTGGAACAGCAATTATAATCCTACATACAACTTTTGCCGTAAAGACTGAGACTTGTACAATATCTGTCCATTTTGGTTATCCAACGCTTTCCGGTAGTGGTAATAATTTTTATCAGTATTTTCCAATAGAAACTTGTACCAAAGTTGTTGATTTTTGTTTGGTAAGTCATGTAAGGCTACAATGAACACAAAATACCTGTGATATTTTGAATAGTTGGGCTGTCTATGGGAGAGATGAGGTGTTCCGCCCCAACACGTTCTGGTAGAATCAGTCTGTTTACTGCCTTTGACATCTATTGCTTTACCTGACAAAAATAGACATTTTTCTTGTCAGACAAACAATTTTCTTCAAATAACGGTGATGTTTTCTACAAAAACTGAATTCCTAGTGTCATTTATATCACCAACTTTAACTACAAAAACAGACCATTCTTAATTTAATGGGCCACGAGCAAATTTTTAAGGGAAAAATTAACTGACAAAATAAAACCAAATGATTAATATGGAGGTACGGGGAAGGAACACAACCCTAGTACTCCACCACCCCTGGCCCTTAACTGAATTTCATAAATCTGCTAGAGAAAAAAGACCTCAGAATGAAAAATAATCAACATTTTAAATATAGTCTGTATTCTTATATCACCTACCGAAATATTCGCTAAATAAGAATTGTATGTCGACTGCTCACTGGATCAGCTTCTATCAGAAGTTTGTAAATGTCTGACTTCTACAGAGCTTTTATCAGTAAAATTTGAAGTCCTAAGTTACAGAGAATTTAGGTTGTTATTACTAGATATTTTCCTGGTGATAACCCAATGTGAGGTACATTATAACCATAACTGCCGACTGACAGGGAGATGTACATTTTCACTCCCTACCATCATTTTTATCAGTAAAACTACATTTACTGATCAGCTTGCTGTGAATTTTGGAAACTCCACATATTTATAATCGGAGAGATTGGCGATTTCCCGTGAACACTAGGCTCCATGTACGAGCCGATAACAGGTATCTTACCCCACTTAGATAGGTATTTACACTTTTATGACCCATGGTTACTTTTGACTTTCGTCACTTGTTGGCATGGCAACAAGATTTC